TAATAATAATAATAATAATAATAATAATAATAATAATAATAATAATAATAATAATAAACAAAATATTATTTGAACTTAACCTGACCTTTGTTTTTCTTTTAAATTGCATTTTGCTTGCGTCAGACAAATGCAGCAAAGAAGGAGCAGCAGTTTCAACTGCTGGCGGTATAGTTTCGTAGATATGCTCATCTTCTGCTGCTGCTGCTTCTCCTGCTGCTGCTGGTTCTCCTGCTGCTGCTGGTTCTCCTGCTGCTGCAACTGTTGATGGTGCTGCTGAAACTGTTGATGGTGCTGCTGAAACTGTTGATGGTGCTGCTGCTGTCATTAGAGATTCTAATGAATAGGATGTAGGTGATGCTGCTAGATCTGAAGTTGCTGCTAGATCTGCTGCTGCTCCTACATCTACTGCTGCTGCTGCTTCTGCTGCTGTTGCTGCTGTGCCTCTTGGAGAAGATAAGGATGCTTTGCATCGCTTAGCGAAATCCATAGCGACCTTAACTATAGTTAGAGGGTCTTCATATGTAGACATTAATCTATTTAAAAAGTATATTAAATTACTTTCTTTCTTTAAAGGAATAGAATCCCCTCTTAAATAATATTGCTCATTCTTCTCTGCTGTTCTGCTCGCGTTCTTCACATCAACTACAACACCCAACTGCAGAGAATCTCCTAAGTCTATAAATAAAACAAATTAAACAAAACAAATTAAACAAAACAAATATTAAAAATATATTAGTGTACAAAAATTAATATGCAATTAAAAGAAGAGTATTCACGATAATATAGTAAATATATACACAACAAATTCAAGAAATTTTATTATACACACAAATTCTAAGAAATTCACAGAGAGAAAACAAATAAAATAAATATAAAATAAATATAAAAAAACACAAAACAAAAACAAATAAAAATAATATGTAGAAACAGATAAAAAGAATTATAAAGAAACACAAATATACGCAAATACAACAAAAACAAACAAAAACAAAAAAAAACAAAAGCTAAAGAAGCCAATATCCATAAACAAATATAATAAAAAGAAGCAAAAACAAATAAACAAAGAAGATCTTTAAAGATAAATTAAATTAAATACAAACAAATATAGCAAAACCAAATAAAAGAACAACATAAAAAACAGTTTCGAATAGTCACGGTTTCTTAGAGCAGGAGGAAATGCAAAAAAATATAAATATGAATGTTTAAAAGATAAACAAATAAGAAAATAGTAATATAAAAGATAAACAACTCTGTAAATATATGATGCACCAGGAAGCAGACAAATACATCAACAAATAAATAAAAACAAAGAGAAAGAAGAAAACATAAACAAATAAATAAATAAATAAAATATTCACCTCCGCATCCTTCTTGAATTATCCTCGCAGCAACATATGAGGGGCCTTGGGCTGCAAGAAGAGAAAAAAGAAAACAAAAACAAACAAACAAAACCCTAAACCCTAAACTCTTTTGTGCGTACATACACCTGAATATTGGTGTATATATATATATATATATATATATATATATA